AGTGTCTCTTCATATCTCATCTCCATCGTTTCCCATAACATCTATTAAATAGGGTTAAATATTGTCAAGAAAAAAAATCCTAATTATTGTGTTGCATTTGAATTNTAATACAAAACAGTAATATATATCCTTATAAATAAAATTAAAATTTATTTATTAAACTAAATCAAATTATATCAAATAAAACTATAAATTATATTATAAAGTGATAGAAATTGGTATGTATTCTTTTAAAAATGATATTTATTTCAAATCTAATTGATATGTTGTCAATGTAATAAAATAAATAATTATTTATATAAATTCTAATGTTTAAATATAAAATTAAAAAATTGTGAAGCACGACTGATACGACACTTGATGTATTAGACATCTAATTAAGTAAAAAAATTAATCTATTTTGCTTAATATTTAATAAATATATTCTACACTTATGCATATACATATCACCATATTATTTCTATTTATGTAAGATATATATTGTACTTATGTAATAGTAAATAATATCGATATTTTTATATGATGTAAGTAATAAAATTCAAAAGGAGTTGACATTTTCATTTAATGTACGGGTGTTTAAATATTATGATTAAAAGAATATAATTTGACAATTTAATTAAAACCCAAAGTAATGTTTTATATAAAATTAAATTATTTTAGTTTTTAAAAAATAATAAAATTAATATTTTTTATAAAAATATTCTAATTCAACACCCGTGTAATACACGGGTATTGTACTAGTGAATATTATATTAAAAACTGAGAAACTTGATGAAACGAGATGTTCTAGAAATAGATATCTACATTTTATCTTGAATTGATCAAAGCTTCAATCTCTTTTTTTTTTNAGCTTCAATCTCAATCATACATTTAATATTCTGGTATGATTCTCTCTCATGAGAGCGAAAAAATTCTCTTCCATGAGAGCGATTTTTTCCTTTGATTCCCCAATCATCGTCTTTTGTCTCAAGATTTCTTTCTGCCTTCGATTGGTCCAGGGTTAATTCAGTGGTTGTTAAAATCGTTGATATCCGTTTTCTCATCTCTTTTGTTCCTCTTTCCCCCTTTTATTTCACCTTCATCGATTAGGGCTTTACATTATGCTTGAGGATTCTCATATCAATCAAGATAGCGATCTATCTGATCGTCTAAAAGCCTTCTCCCTCTCAGATTGGGAAGCTAAAATCATTGATATTGCCCAAGAAGATATTCGTTTTAGCGACGATGAATGTCAAAGAAGTCTTTTTGGAAAGATCATTGGAGACCGCCCAGCTAGTTGGATAGGAATCCGACGCGCAATGTCTCAAATTTGGAAATTAAGTCACCCAATGGAAGGCAAGGAGCTCAGCTCCAATTATTTCCAGTTCATCTTCCAAAATCTTGAAGATAAAAAGAAAGTAGCAGCAGGAACAAACTGGAGTTTCGAAAACCAGTACTTAATTCTCCGGGAATGGACACACGGGATTTCTAGTAAGCACCCGAGATTCCAGGAGCTGAATTTATGGGTGCAAGTTCATAATATTCCTTTAAACTGGGTCAACTCTGAAGTGGGTTTCAAAATAGGGAAAGCTTTCAAGAGTCTGAAGAATGTTGTGGTAGCATCAATTGGCCATCATGGGGGGAAACTTTTGCGGCTCCTGGTCACTCTGGATATAGAGGAGCCCATTCCTAGAATTCTCAATATCCGGTTGGGTGATCAAGTAGTTAATGTCATGCTCAAGTATGAAAAGCTTCTGAATCTCTGTCACTATTGCGGCAAAATAGGACACCTAGACCGTTCATGTGCTAGGAAGATGGAAGATGTTGCAAACAACTCGATGAAAGAGGGACAGTACGGTGACTGGTTGAAGGTTGCAGAAGGCCAAAGATGGTCTCCTGGAAATTTCTCAGGAAATAGGTCCTCTCCTCCGAGGGAATCTCCCTCTATGGCTGAGAATCATACTGCTCAAGATGTATCATTCAGTCCACCTATCAACAGTCGCCATCTAATTCAGAGTACAGGGAATACCTCATCTCCAGCCAAGTCAGTAGCTGTTACATCCCTTGTTTCTGCTATACAAGCCCCTATTATAGAGGAAGACATTGTGGAGAACAATATTCAGATGGTAGAATCTACAGGGATGGATATCGAGAAAGGAGTCTCACCTCACAACTCTTTAGCCCTGGTGGAAAACCATAAGAATCCAGTAGTTCCATCTCTGAAAACCTGGAAAAGGATAGGCAGCAGCAAAGGCAGATTACAAAGAGCTTCAGACCCACCTCTGTTCATTGATCAGACCCTAATGGGAAAGAGGGACAGAGAAGACATCAACTGTGAAGAAGCAACAAGTGAAGCTGCTACAACTAGTCAGGTTAAACCAAGAAACTTAAAGCCAAGTCTGAAATGGTGGGGGCTGCCAGCCTGGAGTGGCACCACCATGGTCAATGTTAGCTATGGTGTGGAATTGTAGAGGGCTGGGTGGGCCCTCTACAATTTCCCAAATCAGAGAGTTGCTAAGAACTCATCACCCAAATTTTCTGTTCTTGTCTCAAACAAAAAAACAAGATGCATTTGTAAAGTCTGTTTGTAATAAATTAGGTTTTGATAATAGAATGATTATGTAGATCCTGTTGGGCTTAGTGGTGGGTTGGTTTTGTGTTGGGACTCTAATGTAATTATTCATAATATTCAGTTTAAGGATTTCTATATAGCTGTCAATTTTCAAATCAGTTCAGATATTCCCCAATAGGGAGTGTTTGTTTACCTAAGCCCTTGCAGATTGACTAGAAGAAGCCAATAGGAAGACATGATTGAGGACAAGCAGCTGTGGGGTCAAAATTGGTTCTCTCTTGGTGATTGGAATGATTTGTTGGATCTTTCTGAAAATGTAGGAGGCATCACCAGAAGAGAGCTCAGTCTTCAAGGTTTCCAAAACTTTGCCAATGCCAAGGAAATGTCAGAAGTAAAGTTTGAAGGCTATCCTTTCACTTGGTGTAACAATAGAGCTGCTCCTGATCTAGTTAAAGAAAAGCTTGATAGGGCTTTTGGTTATTTGGATTGGTCTCAGCATTTTCCTAATGCAGATGTTCAAAATGTTATTAGAAGTTCATCTGATCACTCAGTTCTTCTTCTTGATTTGGGATTGCAAAGACAGAAAAGGAAATCCTCTTTCCATTTTGACAAAAGGTGGATAAGCAAGGATGGTTTCAAAGAAGTAGTGGAAAAGGCTTGGATCACACCTGTGGAAGGCACTCCTTTTTTCCAGTTAAAGGAAAAAATCAAACATACTAGGAGAGCACTGCTCATCTGGAGCTCTTCTTTCCAGTCTCAACACCAGAAACACATGGCAGAGCTAACCCACAAGTTGGAGACTCTTAATGCTGACAAAGATGGGGATGTTTGGGATGAATGGATTCAAACTAAAAGGGATCTGAATAAGGCACATGCTCAAGAAGAGCTTTATTGGCAGCAGAAGGCAAAACACAAATGGTTGAGGGAAGGAGATGCTAACACTCGTTTCTTTCATGCCTACACTCTACATAGAAGGAAGCTTAATGCCATCACAAGACTTGTCTCAGATCAGGGCAGAGTGTTTTCAACTCAGGAGGACATTGAGAAGCACATCTCTGATTTCTACAGATCTCTTTTCTCCTCTGAAGGCAGTTGGGGGGAGACTCATTGCTCTCTCTCATCTCACCAAGCATCACTAATGATATGAACCAAGCATTGCTCAGACAAGTGGAGGAAGATGAAGTTAAAAAGGCTTTATTCAGCCTGCAACCAGACAAATCTCCTGGTGAAGAAGGCATGACAGCCAGATTCTATCAACATTTCTGGGATTTGCTTAAACCTGATCTCATGAGGGCTGTGACTAGTTTCTTCCAATCAGGTATGCTCCTAAAATACTAGAACCATACAGTAGTGTCCTTGATCCCTAAATGTGACAACCCTGAATCATTGAGCCAATATAGACCAATCAGTCTCTACAGTGTAGTCTATAAAATAATCTCTAAAGTGTTGGCTCAAAGGCTGAAAGGGTGTCTCACTTCTTGCATAAGTGATTACCAGGCTGCTTTTATTGAGGGTAGACAATTGTCTGACAATGTGATCATAGCTCAGGAGGCATTCCATTTTTTAAATAGACATTTCACTGGTCCTAATTTCTTTATGCTTTAAAACTGGATTTGGTTAAAGGTTTTGATCGTGTTGAATGGATTTGTCTAAGGAAATTCATGCTCCAAATGGGTTTTCATTCAGATTTTGTCAAGCTTATTATGGCCTGCATCTCTACTGCTTCATTCTCTTTCAAAGTAAATGGTTCAACAAAGGTTTATGTTTCTCCTTCTCGTGGAATTAGACAGGGGGACCCCTTGTCCCCCTATTTGTTCATCATAGTGGTAGAATTGCTTACAGCTCTCATTTTAAACTCTATTGAGAGTGGAATGCTAAAAGGGTTGAAGCTATCAAGAAATGGACCAATGCTCTCACACCTTTTATTTGCTGATGACTCACTTTTCTTTTGCAAAGCTAGTATTGATCAGGCTGGTACCCTCATGAACATTTTGGAGCAGTATAGGCTTTTTACATGTCAAGTGGTGAATCCTCAGAAATCTGCTGCTTTCTTCAGCAAGAACACCCCTCAGCACATTCAAATTGCCATTTGTAGAACAATAAATGGTATTTCAACTCACAGATCAACCAGATACCTTGGTCTTCCATTGAGGATTGGCAAATCCAAAAAGGAAGTTTTTGAATATTTATTAGCTTCAGTGAGGAAGAAACTTACCAGCTGGAAGACCAAATTTTTAAGCACTGCAGGAAAGGAGGTTCTTTTAAAAGCTGTCATCCAAGCCCTCCCTGTTTTCACTATGTCTTGTTTTTCTTTGCCTGTGTCCATCTGTTCTGAAATAACTAAACTATGTGCTCAATTTTGGTGGCAATCTAACACAGAACAGGCAAAAGGAATTCACTGGAAGAAATGGAGTTTTCTCACCTTTCCCAAAGACAATGCTGGATTGGGTTTTCATGACTTACAGCTCTTCAACAAAGCTTTGATATGCAAACAGTTGTGGAGGATTGCTTCTCACCCTGAACTTCTTGTAAGCAAATTGCTTAAGGACAGGTATTTCCCTCAAACCTCTCTTGTGCATGCTTCTAAAACTCAGGGGGGATCATGGATGTGGAATTGCTGGATGGACATGTTTCCTTTGTTTGCTAAATGGCTTAGGATTGAAATCAGAAATGGGGCTAATACAAGAATCACTGACTTGAACTGGGTACCAAATTTGAATAAGCCAGCCCCTACCCTCATTCCCATAGTAAGAGACCATCTTATTTGGGTCAGTGATTTGCTACACAGTAATGGATATAGCTGGAATGAGTGGCTTGTCAAGCAGGTTTTCAACAGCTCAGATAGCCAAGCCATCCTCAATATCTCTTCTCTTCATCCTCAAAGGGCTAACAGAATTTACTGGAGTCTTGACCAGAAAGGGCAATTCACAGTTTCTGGCACCTACAAACACTTGTGCAGACTCAAAGTTCTGAGTGTAGACATCCCTGAGTGCAGCAACAGTAAAGAGATTAAGCAATCCATTAGGATGAGGTTTTGGAATGTGAAAACAGAAAGAAAGATCAAGCATTTTCTTTGGAAATGCTTATCTAGCAACCTACCAGTTGCTGTTCATTTGAGGAAAAGAGGAGTAGAACTTGACACTACTTGTTCTTTTTGTGGAGAAGCAGCTGAGACAATAGAGCACATGTTTTTCACTTGCAGAAGAGCAATCTCTGTATGGCAGTTGAGTCCTTTGCAATGGGATGGGCTACTGTGTTGCACTGATTCTTTTAAGACCTGGTGGTATCATATTTGTTCTCTTGACAATTCTAAAGTAGCTGAAGCCAGAATTCAACTTACTACGTATATGCTTTGGTGGCTTTGGAAGTCGAGGAACCTGTGGATTTTTCAGAAGTCTTTAATCTCGGAGAATAAAATTTCTCAGATTGCTCAAGCTGACTGGATGGAGTTCATAGATGTTGTTTCTTCTGTTTAAATTGTCTTTGTCCTTTTTTTTGGCTTTGTTTTCTTGTTTGAGTTAGATCTCTTGCTAGGCTTTGTAGCAGTGGCGGGGGTCAAACTCTTTATTTTCTTTCTTTCTCCAGTTTTTTTTATGTTGTTGAGGTTCTAGACCGCTTTATGCACATCTCTCAGTTTGCTGTTTCGATTTGTAGACTCTTGTATTCGAACTATGTTCGCTTTGAGATTAATATAGTATCCTCTGTCGTTTCGGGAAAAAAAATCATACATTTAATATACAAGCTAAAAAGGTATATTTGTTGCCTCCTTGAGTTGATCAAAACTTCAAGTCCAAGCCCTACAACAACAAATCTGCACTATCGTGCTAGGCATCCATCCTCAGACTTCCTCAAAATATCTTGGCCTATCCTTGGGTATAGGCAGATCAAAAAATGCCACCTTCTCATATGTACATGATTCAGCAAAAAAGAGAATTTTAAATTGGGCAAACAGGTTTCTTTCTACTGCAGGTAAAGAGGTGATGTTGAAGGCAGTTTTGAGTGCCTTACCCACTTACACTATGACATGCTTCCTCTTACCAAAGTCACTGGTGAAAAAGTTGTCATGTACCTTTGCTCATTTCTGGTGGTTACAGAAGAAGGACAACAAAAAAAGGATCCATTGGAAATGCTGGAAACACATGACACTGCCCAAGGAGTTGGGAGGCATTGGCTTCCATGACCTCCACATTTTCAATAAGGCACTCATTTCTAAGCAATTGTGGAGAATCACATCACAACCCCACCTTCTGGTAAGCAGAATTCTGAAGGGGAAGTACTTTACCCACTGCAATCTTCAAGCTGACAGCTCATGGATTTGGTCAAGTTGGTGGAAGGTCAGAGACTTCTTCTTCAAAAGCTACAGGTTCAAAGTTCAAGATGGGAAATCCATCAATATCTGGGAACATCCTTGGGTTCCTAAGCTGCCTGGGTTCAAGCCTGCTGGGAAATTTCTAAGGAATCCAGAGCTTCTTTGAGTTTGTGATATGTTGGATGACACAAGTAGAAGATAAAACAAGCAACTGATTGAGGAATGGATCAGACAATAGGAAGCTGCAACCATTTTGAGCATAGAAGGAATGAACCCTCACAAATCTGATTTTCTTCAATGGGGGTGGAACTCAAATGGTAAGTTTACAGTGGCCTCAGCATATTCAAGACTTATTAAAGATCACTGGAGAAAAATGGATATAGCAGGGCCTAGCACAAATCATGCAGAGCTAAAGGCAGCTAGAAAAAGAACTTGGTCATTGATAGTGAAAGGGAAACTAAGACACTTTATATGGAAATGCATTAACAACATCCTACCTGTCCTGATCAACCATAATTCAAGAAGAGTGGCCATTGATACTCAATGTAAATTTTGTGGGGAAAATGAGGAATCACAGGAGCATCTATTTTTCACTTGCACCAGGGCTCAGTTAATTTAGAAATTAGCTCCATTATCTTGGGCAGGGCTGCAACAAGAAACAACCTGCTTCAAACATTAGTGGTTCAAATTGTGCACTATCAATCACACCCCATTTGCTGAGGAAAAAATGCAACTAACCTGCTACTTGCTCTGGTGGATGTGGAAAACGTGAAATCTCTGAATTTTTGAAAACACTTGGAGATCATAGGCTCATACAGTTAGTCTTGCATAATAAGATTGGTCTGAATTTTCTTCCTTCAATAGTTAGTTGTCCCTTCTATGTAGTTTCATCAGACTTTATCATAGTTGCTGTTTTTCCTTTTTTGTGTTGTTTGGTAGGCTTTTGTTAGTTTGCTAGGTCCAGTGGAAAGCTTCAGTGACAAACTAGTTTTGGAACTAATGTCTTTATAGCTTTAAGAGACAGTAGCAGACGCCGGAGCTAGGTCTTAGCCCATGGTTTCAAAGTGAGATGTCTTTGCTATGTGCAACCATTTTGGTGTTAGATTATTTAGGAGTTCCAGCTCCTCCATTTGTGAGGCCTTGTGCTAAAAATTTTGTCTTATATTNAAAACTTCAATCTCAATCATACACATAATATATAAGCCAAAAAGTATATTGAGGGTCTCATACACAACACCTATTATACTCTTATTTAATTTTGATTATAATTCGTTTTTATTCATCAAAAGAATTATATTTAATTTTGAGATCATGTATACAAACATAGAAATAATAAAAAAAAAATATAGGATGTTAAATTAAAAAATTGTCACAATTGAAGAGCAGACCATTTCGCACCACCTCTAACTGTCCTTTGTCGTCAGCCTACCAATGATAAATTTGAGAGTCCGATAGGCTTGATCATAAGGAGAGAATTCCATGGCGGCCAGCAGCTTTTCCGAGGTCGTATTCCAGACTCGCTTCCTTCTTGACTTCACTTCGCTTCGAAAAGTTTGTATTGTCACCTTAGCTGCTACCTAGTCTTTCTTTCTTCTAGATATTCACAGGAGACCAGACCCGTCTGAACCTAGCCTCCCATCTTAAAAGACTGGATTTCTTGTTTACCGGCGTCCCCCTATCTTGTCTTGCTGGAGGCAGATTTGNAAAAAGCGGTTGATTCTTCCTCAATTACATCGAACCTGTGCCAAAAAGGATGGGCGAGTTCGAAGCTTTACTTAGAGAAGGTTCTATCTTTTTTCTACGAATTCCATGTGTTAAGCATTTAACAAGGCTTGTTTAGAAATCTTCCAATCATGCTACTTTCTATGACTTCACTTCGCTTCGCTTCTAAAGTTGTCTTGCTTGCTCTATCGGAGGTCGGATGGACAAGAAGTCGAGAAGCTAACCTTGACTTACGCAGGATAGAGAATTGATAATCCTCAAGGCAGATGACGACCTCAAAGTATATCAAGTTTTTAAATTTTTATAAAAGGGTATTCAACTTTTTATCTTACACAACACATACATACGCATATTCATATACTACTGCTTTTATCATTGAACACGGACTGACTTGAGCGTCGGAGTTTTTTCCGTTGAGACCCCTGCAGGTCATCGAAGACGACGAGCCAATTCGAGTTGACGGATCGCAATTCAAGCTAGATCTTGAGACAAGCGTAACAGAGGTAAATAATATACAATATAAACGTTTAGATATATTATTTCAGTGAGTATCAAATGCCATAATGCCGTTCTCTATATTGCAAAAAGGGAGAAAAAAAAAAGATTGAACCATTTAGATTTTGGTTAGCAACAGACGAGAATTAGACTAATTAGTAAAAAAAAAAAGGTGTCATTTATTGCATTAATCAACATATTAGAGATTGACAAACTATCGTGGTCACTTAAGTTATAATTGATGTGCTTGCTTGCTAAATTGATTTTATTTTAAGTCTGGAACTAGTTGAGAGAATTTTGAGATTTGCATATATATTATTTAAAAAATACATATTTAGTACGTCAGACGCGAGACCTAAATCCACTTCAACGCTAGGGTGCGAGGGTCAGGCGAAACGTCGTGGAAGTTGGTAGATTTGAAGTCGCTTTATGAGTGGGTCGATGACGAAAATGCAAAAATAGAAGAATAGTTGCTTACAATGACGGACCTACATTAGGTTCAGGGGATATACATATAAAAAGAAAGCACTATAAAATATAAATAGAAATGCAAAAAAATATTTATAGTTTATAAACAATTAAACATTATTTTTATGCTAATTTTATTCAAATTAATAAAATTATTTATTTATTGAAAAATACTCTAACAATCTTATATTTTACATTGTTAGATAACTTTTTGAAAATATTTATAATCATTCGGCCTCTTAAATGTAAGTCAAATTAGTGATTTATAAAACTGAGTAACTGGTTAAATTATTAGATTTTTGGATGTAGATTTTCAACTTTTTTTTTGTGTAATCATATATTTATAGATTTTTTTTATTCTTTTTTTCTTAAAAAAATGGTCATTTGATAAGCTCACATTAACAAAAATGCTATGCAATGTGCTGTAAAAGTTCAATTTAAATCAAAATTTCAGCCAAAAAACTTATTTTTCATAAATTATAGATGTTGAATATAAATTATAAATACATGAAATCTCATTTTATTTTTTTTAAATTTTGATGGTGATACGGATTCTAAGTTTCTAAAAACTTGATGGTATACATATCATTATTTATATTTATAAGCAAATACATTTTTATATTAAATGAGCGTTTCAACTTAAATTACAAGCCCGTTATTTAACATTTAAAATCGAGCCCCGAACCCCCCTCAATAAAATTTCTAGATCCGTCACTGGTTGTTTAATTAAATATGGTTACATATGCACTCTTGAACATTGAATTACCTTCACAAATATGACTGTGTTATATTGTTATAGTTCAACTATCAAATCAGAAAAGATATTTAAGGAGCCGTAATTTACTAAAGACAACTGAGATTTTTTGTGACATGAAGTAATCAATCCAAAAAGATAGTAGCATAAAAAGTGAGTAATCATAATTCTAGTCCTCTAAGTATAACCTTTTTGGGAAAAAAAAATCATTCGAGATGGCCGATTTGGATTTCTTCCTGCATGTATGAATAAGCAACAATCCATCATCAGACACAATCTACCACACTATCCTATATTTAAGAAAAATAAAAAATTAAAGATGAACTTTTCAAGATGACACAACAGAAATAAAAAAACACACAATCAAGAAAAACAACTCAACATCCCAAATATCCACTTATCATGTCTCTTTTCTCCCAAACAATCCTTACATGGAAAACACCTTTGACAGATAAAGAAAGATCAACCAGGTTAACAAACAGAAACAATAGTTACACACAAGTTTCAACTCAGCCAGAGATGTAAAAGTGTGACATCACATCACAAACATAAAACCTCCACTCAGCGCCACGCTTCACACCTTTCAGTCATCGAATTTATACGGCTCAGGTTGCTGCAAACTCCCTTTCCCACCAAATGTTCAATTTTCGAACTCCCTAAATCGCCCTCGGCTTTCGATTCGGGTTTCTTTTGAACAGACAATTTGACAGTGTTAACTTCACCAGGTGGGGTCCCACACGAGACACTCTCGTCAGATTCCTCAGTAGAAGTCGAGTAACTACTAAGATAGCAGCAATCCTCATCAGTGGTGGTGTTAATAAACTGCTTGGTTTCAGACTCGAAATCCGAACATGGATCCTCCACTAAATAGGCCTGAGTGGGCTCGTCATTCGTCTCCTCTCGATTTTGTTGATGAATAAGTTGGGAGAATAAGTTGTGGTGGTTGCCATTGTCATCAGAAGGCTCCTCCATTATAGAGATCGGTGGTTCTTTGATGGAATCCCCTCTTTCGCGTAGGGTTTTCTCGATTAGGGTCTTGAGGAAGTTCATTACTTGGACTGCATGCATCAATGCAGTCAGTGGGTCCACCATCTGGACAAACACAAAAACGAACCCAAAAAAAAAAAATGTATAAATATATGAAGTTCTGATATACCTTTGTAAAAATGGTTTAGGTTAATGAGAGTGGCGGTAGGTTTAGTTAGAGTGGAGAACGTGCTATCATCTGGATTTTTTAACTTGTGTAGTTACAATTTACAAAGATGAAACAGATTATTGATGTTCCTATGTATTGGTTTGTGTGTTTGTGTGTGTGTGTGTGGATCAATTACAGAAATTCATTAGGAATTGAAATACCGTCAGAGGAGTTGTTGCAACTGTTTCAGGAGGCAATAGAAAATTCGAAAAAATAACGGAATTTTTTCGTAATTAGAACAAATCAAAAGGGTAGTTTATTAATTTACGCTTCAGTGAAATACATTACAGCGATGGTTAATTTTACTGAATCGCCCCCTGACGCTTAGCCGAAAGGCAGAATCCAGAATTGTTAAGAAAGAAGTACAAAAGTAAAAGCATCCGACTTGACATTAGTCGTTCGCCATAAATTCACCTGGGTCATGTTTGGGGCGAAGACCATAGCGATGTTTCGAGCATTCATCTTGTTCATGTGCTCCTCTTGTGCCACATCAGCCATCAGGTTGACAGCCCAATCGAGCAGAGCTGCCTCAGTTGGCGGCAGAATCCCCACAAGAGCTTCACAATCCTCCTCTGACGAGCACTGCATCACTTGCTCGGCCGACAGAGAGTCGAGCACTCCTCTTGGAAGCTCTCTAAACCAAGCCTACAAAAACAAACACCATTTCCGAACAATTTTTACCCTTCAGCTGGCCACTTGATAGCAGTTTTTTAAGAATTTACCGAGTAGAAATTGAGTTGTATGAAAGGTGATGTCATTTAGGCATCATTTGAAGAGTTGAGTTAAGTACAGTTTAAAAAGCATTTTGGTCTAAATTGTGTTATACCTTGATTAGGCCGGCTAAACAGTGGACATCAATGCCTTCAGGAACAACTCCTCTGTTCAGTTGGTCGCGCACAAACTCCTCTTGGCTGTTTCCTGCTGTTATTCTGAAAATACCTTCAGCCTACACAAACAAATATAAAGTAATACAACGTACCAGAAAACAAAATGTGAGAGAGAGAGAGAGAGAGAGAGAGATCCACCTGAAGGCCACCTTGGCAGTACAAATGCCTCTGCATAAGTAAAAGAATAGTTGGAATGCTATTGCCTCGGAGGTCATAAGAAAGCTGCATTGATTCAGTAGAAACTCCAAAAACAGTGGCACTGTTCATAAGGACGAAAAAGAAAAACAGTGAGGGAAGAGTGGCAGCAGGTTTATTTATCGGTTAAATTAGACTATCACAAGATACAGTT